CTAGCACTTGGGGAGAGTCACAAGGCAGATTTGGGTTGCTTTTGCACCCAAGGAAGGCCCCATGCAACAAAAGAGCCATTTTAGAGCCTTTTGGCTCAAAAGTCCCATGCATGCACGTAAAGTTCGTAATTTTACGTGCTAGATCGAGCTTAGGGGCTTGGATATATCATTTGGACAAGTGTTGTACATCAGAAATCGAGGATTTAGGGTGTGGACGTTATCGACTCGGCGAGTCCATTCTTGGGACTCGACGAGTCCAAGGCTTTGAGTCCCATATCTGTTGAGGGTCAAAGAACTGAGTTGGGTGTTAAAAGGGTTGTAGTAGGACAGAAAGAGTGACCCAACGCATTGGACTTAGTTTTAGACCTGGAGTTCATGGGACTCGACGAGTGCTAGAACAGACTCGGCGAGTCCAAGGCAATCTTCTTATGTTTGAAGATGAACTCGACGAATTGTTCATACAACTCGGCGAGTCAAGGTCAGGACTTGTTCATCAGTTGAAGGTGAACTCGACGAGTTGTTCATACGACTTGGCGAGTCGGATGAAGGTTCATTGATGTTCGTAAAGAAGGGGAACTCGTCGAGTCGTGGATAAGGACGAGTAAAGGGAAGGGACTCGACGAGTTGACGGCCCAACTCGGCGAGTCGGGTCAACTGGAAGTTGACTTTGACTTGGACTTGGTTGGGGGTAAAATAGTCATTTTACCCTAAGATTAGAGATCAGATTCTGACTGAGTGTTTTGTGGGGATTGTAGCCGGAGGATTTCCGGAGCAGCAGCGGACAGAGGTTTCCCGCACAGATTATCAGCAGCTACTCGTACGAGGTGAGTTACCTTCCAGTAGGGGTGGGTCTAAGGCCACAATGCCGGCCCACCAAAGAGGAGTATTTAGAAGATGATTGTCTTTGTGATAATTATCTTGGTCTGGTTACGTGCTTTGGTCATGAGTTTTATCTGTATGATATGTTACGTGTATAATAGGGATTAGTTTCCCTGACAGCGATCCTTAGGACCGAAGGGTAGGTCAGTACCCGGATATGCCTGATTGTATGTTTATATCTTGTTGATTGTATGCTAGTGGTAGGGGGTGGAATAGTCCCCAGTTACCGGTTGAAAGATACCGATGACAGTTACCGGTTGAAAGATACCGATGATGATTACCGGTTGAAAGATACCGACGACGATTACCGGTTGAAAGATACCGATGATATTGAATGGTATGTGGTATGATGGGGGAACTCACTAAGCTTTGTGCTTACGGTTTTGGTTTTGTTTTCAGGTACCTCTTCGTCTAAGGGGAAGGAGCCGGCGGCGTAGCATCGCATCACACACACACATATGATTCCGCATCGGATTTTCTGGGATTGTACTCTGATTTTCCTTATTTTTGATGTCATGGTTTGGGATACAACATTAGGATTTTGTAATGTGTTGCTTTATTGACAGTGTTATGGTAAAATGTTTTAAAAATTATTAATTTAAAAATGAAATTTTCGGGCTTGAATTTTGGGATGTTACAAGTTGGTATCAGAGCCCTGGTTTGAGGGATTCGGACACACCCTCGGGGGTGTCTGGACTCAAACCGAGGGACTAAAAGATTTTTACAAGGAAAAATGGTTTTTGATGATATATAGTCCACTGACATGGCCTAGACTGCTCTAGCGCGCCAGCCTGGCCTGGCGCGCTCCTGCCAGCCCTGTCTGGCGTTCCCTTGGTAGCCCTTGCTGAGGACTCCCTTGCCAGCCCTGCTGGGGACTCTCCTGCCGGCCCGGCCAGGCGCTCCCTCGCCTGGCACTCCCTTGCCATCCTCTCCTGGTGTGCGCCCGCCAGCCCTGCCTGGGACGCGCCCGCCAGCCCCGCCCGGCGCCTCCGGACGGTCTTGCCCAGCTCCTTGCTAGTTGGGCCTGAATTGGGCTGGCCCAAGGCCTGACCTAATTCCCCTTGACCTAATTGTCCTCTATATAAATGAATAGTACATTCTCCATGGTGGGGGATCCTTCCCTTTGGCTCAGCCGCCACTATACTCCGGCCGGGTGGCTTAGCCGCCACCCGCCGCCGTCAGCCACCATACACCACCACTAGCACCAAGATGGTTCTCTCCAGCTATGGAGGACCATCTCAGATCTTCTAGCTAATCTAACTTGACCGTCGGAGTCCGCTCCCGGGGCACAGTCCCTGGAGCGGCTCTAACGACTTTGCACTGTGATATCCAGATCTCCGCCGCAGCTGAAGACCTGAAGACTCGCCGGAGGTCGATGTCGCATCATTTGGCGCCATCCCGGATTCGAGCAAGTAGCAAAGCCTCAGTTGGTTTCATGATTGTTCATCCTCACATTTGTTCAGATGTGATGGGTTTTCATCTCAGGTTTCCTCAGATCTGATTATTTTCTAGTATCATTTGTTCAGATCTGTTTATTTTTTGCCAAGATCTGTTCAAATTTGCTTCGCTATCTTTTAGATTTGTAGCTCTATCATGTTTTTTAGTCCAGCTCTATGGATCTATATGATTTCCTTCACTCAAACACTCCCTAAGTTTGCAAAATCTTCTTAGAATCGTTTTTTGGTTCATATTATGGGGGTTTCCTGAGTAGGATGAAGAGAAAAGAAATTTTTATGAGTTTTTTCGTTTAGATCCATTGATCTGCTTAGTTTTTCGTTCAGATCTCAAGATCTGTTGAGTTTTTGTTCAGATCGTTAGATCTACTTTGTTTGTTGCTCAGATGTCTAAATATGCTTGGTTTTAGATCATTTGAGCAACACTCAAGTTTTAAAAGACTTCATAAGATCTAATTTTCATCTATATTTTGATGGGTTCTTCAGCAAGTAGTGAAGAAAGAATTTCTTATGAGTTCTTAAACCATTTTCGTTTTATTTTGGTGTTCTTCAAGCAATCTGAGAAGAGATGAAGTTTTCATGGTGCTTTACCTCATCTCCAGTTGTTTTCCTAAAAGAAATCATTTGTGGTTTATGATTTTCTTAGCAAAGCTATGTTGAAGTTGTTTATTTAATGTTTCCTTCAAAGGTTAAAGAAGGAAAACGAAAATTTTTTCAAGATCTGTTCTTTGTTCATATCTTCATAGCTTGTTGAGCAAGCTGAAACGAAAATGAAGTTTCATGAACAAAACTCCACATCAGATCCATTTTTTATTTATGATATATGGTTTTCTCAGCAAATTTAGAAGAAAATAAGTTTTCTATGAATTTTACCCCATCTCTTGTTCATACATTATCAAACTCTTCTTCAGTTATGCATTTTCTGTAACAACTATTTGTATACACAGCCATATGGCTTGTACATTTTACAACACCTCTTCAAAAAAAAGAGAAGAAGAAGAATAAGAGATGAGCTTTTCATGGGTTTTCAGAAAATCCCATTTGGGGTATGATTTTCAAGTTATTTAGAAGCTTGAAAGAAGAAATAAGTTTCTCTAAAATTTTTTACCTTTTCAAATTTCAGAAAACTCATTTTTCATTGGAGTATTTTTATATATTCTCAGTTTAGATCCTAAGACCTATTGAGATATTTGAGCATGTTTGAAAGGAATTGTTCAAAACTATTTTTGTTCATATTTTGATGGTTTTATTCAACTTTGAGAAGAAAAGAAAGTTTACGAGGAAAAAACCCTTTCAAATTCGTTTTTATTTATGTTTTTGTGTTTTTCAGCAAGTCTGAAAAGAAAGAAATTTTTGATGTTTATTGGGTAGAAGTTTGGAGAAAGAACAGAAGTTTTTATGAGTTCTACCTTACTCTAGTTTATCTTGATGGTTTATTGAGCAAGATGAGGGGAAAATAAGCCTCTATAAGCTTTTATTCTATTTTCAGTTCATAATTAGCAAGAAAATCTTTTAGTTCATAATTTAACATGAACAAGACCTCCTCGGGTCTGTTTTGTTAATGTTTTGGGGTTTGTTATAAGCTTTTTACCTCATTTTCCAGTCCATACATTATCAAAATTCATTTTAGTAATGAGTTTCTATGTACAAGTTTGTTTAAGTTTAGAATGCAAGTTGTGCTACTTGTACATTCTAAAACCCATCCGATAGCATTTTTGGGAAAACCCTACCCTTTCATAAAGTCTGTAGCTTAGTAAAAAAAAAAGAAGAAGAAAGTCGTTTGTGTTTTTTTATTGCAAGATACATTTCATTATCTTTTACCACACTCAAAAAATACAAATTACCATATCACTCTCACAGTTTACAACACAAGAAATAGTATAAAAAAAAAGAGAAATAGTTGATGTTTCTTTTGTAGCTGACAAAGAAAAAAAGAAGGGGTAATCAGGTGGTGGTACACATTGTGTACCGTGTAGTCACGAGATACAAAACAATCAAAAAGCAAAAGCATCCTTAGTGGACCCATCTGTTCCACTTCTCCATACACAAAAAAGACAAAAGAGCCGGAACCCACCCGATACAAATCTTATTGGGCAGTCAAAGCCTTCCCCAGATCCGACTTCCCTGGCCGGAATGACCCCCAGACCAACTTCCAGTCAATATCCAAATCATCCATTGCCGACCACCGGCCCTCCGTATTCTCTATTCAAGACCAGCGCCCAGAACCAAAGAATATCCGACCGCTGTTCACTGTCCTTTCGTCACCGTCGGCCCAACAAACTCACGTCAACAATGAAATCGCACCCCCGATATCCATCTACAGACATGCCGCTGCTGGCGAACACGTCCAACACATGTACAGACCTTCAACCACCGGTCGCCACCTGTTGCTCCAATTTGCTTCAATAAACAGCGACCCTAAACCACCTGTTGGACCGTTAGCAACAGAAACATCAACTTCAATCGACGACCCACCTACAACCAAACTAGCTCCCACGGTCGCCTTGAACGCCGACAGTAACATGAATCGCTGATCCCTGCACAATCACTACCAACTGAAACCAAACCCACGGCGGCAAAGTGCAGCCTCAGTCTCCTTGTACAACCAATAAGTAACCACCAAATCACCCTGCCCAGAATCGCTAGCCTCCAGCCGGCCATTAACAAATGTACAACCTACGACCTGCCAGATCGATGTTACCAGAAATAACCGCTTCGATCAGTGTTTCTGCTCAGCAACAGATAACAAAGCAACTGCCGGTCGCCGCTAGCTGCCCGACCAGAACCACGGAATTACCAGTCAAATCACCACCGGTATCGACCGGCGACCACAGTTCCTTGAGCCGCCACCGCTCCAGTCTGCACCGCCGATGGTTGGAACCCAGGTATCACCAACCGACATCCGAACTCGGATGGAACACTTCCCGTCGTCAGCATCGACAACTGCTGCACCGGTTAACCTCCAGTCAAGGCTTTTTGGCGAGATGCATCCCACCACAAGCTTCCGCGTTTTCTCCTTTCTTTGGAATTCCCTGTGACGAGTAATGATGAAGGGATGCCCCCCTCGTAACGCAGCAAATAAGAAAAAGCAATGGGCTCTACGTCTACCCTAAAAGGCGTACAAGTTACGACTCATGTTCAAACGGGAAATTACTTGGGCTAACAAATTGTTAATGGGCTTATTACTCAGCAAGTGGATTAACTTATCTCAGCTGGGCTCCCTTGTTACAAAGAGACTGCAGTAATTCATAATGTTTTATTGGGCTGGTTCAACACTCAAATGACCCAACTTTTGCAAGAATAAATTAGACAATCAACTGTTTAACGATTAAATGCTACGATTCCGCTCAATGAAATACGCTTGGGACTATGCGTTGCAGTCCGTACCACTTGACATATCTAAAAGAGAGAGAGAGAGAGAGAAAAGAGACAATCTCAGCTTCCTAGACCTCCAATTGCCGGTCCTTACATTTTGGGCAATCTTCATGAAATAAAGCCCTAGCCCCGATTTTGTTTTATGTTGAAGGATCTTTTCCTCAAGGAGCACAAAATTAGGGGGTCAATCGTAAGTTGGCAGCCATTGGAACACAATCAAGTTACACACACAATAAAAAAGGGAGGAGAAAAAGCTTCATCATCAAAAACTCATAGACCATCTCCAATCTCAGAGTGGTTTCTTTTTCAGAATCCACCTGGAATTCGTAAAAGCAAAGAGCAAACTACAATACTTTTCTCTGCAAAATTAATAAAGAGGCATGGCCCCACATGTTGTATCTAGCCAAACGATACATACAAAAAAAAAGTTGGCTTATTATCTGTAAATGGGCCGCAACATTGCAAACAGACTCCTCTTTTGGCAATTACTATTTTGGGCTCCTCCTAAAATAGTTTTCTATTTTATTAGGCCACCTTACAACTTATATGGGCTAAATTTAC